GGCGTTCAACAAACAGAGAAGCCCCCTGCTCTTTGCTCGCTTTAAACGTCTCCGCAATAAAGCTATCAAAGTAGCACGGGAGGCTAGACTCAAGTATGAACTAGCCATAGCCAACGAGGCTTCAAAAAACCCCAAAAGATACTTCGGCTATGCTCAAGCCCGGTCCTCATCAAGAAAAGTGATCGGCAATGCTCTTCATATTAATGGACAACTCTTGACCACCGACAAGGATATTGCTGACTCGTTCCTCGCCTCGTTCCAAGAGGTCTTTCGTCTGGATAGCCTGAGCAACTACCCTACCCTCGATCGAGGGTAGGGTAGTTGCTCAGGCGTAATATCTACACCGGACGTGGAAAGAGTCTTTAAGACTCTTAAAATCTCCAAATCCGCGGGTCCAGATAATATCCACCCAGCCGTCATAAAACCGATAGAGTCCTTAATGATTCCACAACTAGTCACAATGTTCAACGACTCTCTGAACACGGGCCGGATTCCGGAGGACTGAAAACATGCCACAGTTGTCCCAATCTTTTAAGGGGGTAACCAATTGGACCCGTCCAACTATCGTCCGATCAGTCTCACCAGCATCGTTGCCAAGCTCCTGGAGCGTATTCTGCGAGACTACATAAGCGCGCACCTTCTACAAATCGGTTTCTTTTGCAACGCTCAACACGGATTCATCAAAGGCAGATCTTGTCTAACAAATCTGTTATGTTTCCTAGACGTAGTAACACAGAAGTTAGCCGAGGAAACGGAAGTCTAAGTGTGCTACCTGGACTTCCAGAAAGCATTCGATTCAGTTAACCACAGGTTGTTAGATTTCAAGCTCCGAGAAACTGGGCTTAATCCGAAAGTCTGTAACTTGGTTTAGAGCGTTCTTGTCCGGGCGGACCTACAGGGTTTGTGTGCGGGGATGTCTGTCGGAGGTGGGTTCCCCTACGAGCAGGGTCCCACAAGGATGCATCCTAGCTCCCCTTCTCTTCTTAGTCTATGTCAACGACATAACATCAGGTTTGGAGAACCCCTGCTTTTTGTACGCGGATGACATCAAATTAGTTGGAAACCCGGACGACAGATACTCCCTGCAGAGTGATATCTTAAAGATATGCGAGTGGTCGCAAAAATGGGACCTCCCACTCAACGCATTGAAGAGTTATCTGCTAGCCAAAATAACGCATCCCGTCCCTCGCCAGATCCTCACTACGGTCGGAGCATATGCAACCCTAACTTACAAATCAGAGGCAATAGACCTCGGGATAAGAGTCTCCAACACCTTTTCCCCGTCCTCTACCGCTGTAGCAGCAGCCTTAAAAGCCAGGCGTGCTTTGTTTAGTCTCCGAACGGCAATCACCAACCGTTGTCCTAGTGTATTCATGCCCCTGTACACAGCCATCGTAAGGCCCCACCTCGAGTACTGTGTTCGGGCTTGGGCACCGTATCTTCAGAAGGAAATCAAAGTCCTAGAAGACGTTCAGCGGCTAGCAACCTGGATGGTCTGGGGTCTAAAAGAACTCAACTACTCGGAAAGACTGAACTCCCTGAACCTGTTCTCTCTAGAACGCCGACGTATGAGGGGGGACCTCATTGAAGTGTACAAAGCTACCAGGAACATGGAGCAGTCCCCCATTGGACACCTGTTCACCTTGAGGGTCAACGACATCCTCCGAGGGCACTGTTACACACTAGAGGGAACCAGGTGCAGGCTAGAAATTAGACATCACTTCTTTGCAAATAGAGTAGTCCCTGCATGGAACAAACTACCAGCTCGAAAAGTTGATTGTCCTACCATGAAGGCTTTCAAACTTGAGCTGGACAAGGAGTGGTACCTCTTATTCCCAGAACTTCCCCAGGGATCAGGGTTCCCTAAGTTTACTGATGGAATGCATATAACAGATACTGCGCAGTCTCCCTTTCCCTTCTACCTTCCAGATATTACTCCCTCGTGGAGAATCGGAAGAAGCTTAAAACTCACAGGCGAGTCGGTCCACAGACGGAACCCGCCATTAACAGGACAGCCAACAGGCGAAGGCCTCTCTACGTCCTGTGATTTGAATTTGAATTTGACCTGACCTGACTAACTGAGGCGGGCATTTCAAATTTTCGTTTTGACCTTGAAGTCATCGTCAGCCGGTGGCCATGCTCACGGCACTATTAGGACGTATTATAATGTAAGTGTTCTATTTGCGAACGATGTTATGTTGATAAAGTATAATATTCGGTGTGCTGCATCCTTCGTATAAAACATACAAGGCAATTAAAAAACGGGATTACCAAGAAGTGGTATGTCCGAGAGCGTTTTTAATGGTTATTTGACGATTTAGGTAATCCTTGGAATGTACTGGGTAGTATTCAGTATATTTACCACAGTTGAACTAGTAACAGACATTTTTCTCGGATGGTAAGCTCTCACATTCTTGTTTTTGAAAGTAGGCTGCCGTTCTATTACGAGGCGAAGATTGCATTCGTCATATGGCTGGTAACGCCAGCTACATCTGGATACAGCATAATTTATCGCAAGTTAATTCACCCTGAGCTTTCGAAGCGAGAAACAGTGGGTCTTCTGTCCGGTTAACATTGAATCCTTTAGGAAATTGATGACGCTATTCAAAAAGCTGCGGAACATGGGTACACCAAAGTTGTCGAGTTCGGCGCAAAAGGTTTGAATTATGCTGCAAAGACAGTTTTGTCAACGGCACTCATGGTGAGTCAGATAGAAGTTTTTTTGTAAGTAGACACTGCTTGTCATCCCCTCTAATTCGGGCTCAAGTAATTAGATGTGCATTATCATATCTGTTATCCACATACAACGCGCCTGTTTTTATGCGGGACTAATGTACGCAGTCGTTATGCACTCAAAATTGGCTCATTGCTTAGCTTTCACTTAGTCTTCATTTTATTTACCACAGGTGGCGTGAAAAATAGGCATCAGTTGGAATTTTGGTGATTCTATCATCTCCGTTCCATCTTTGTCAGATTTAAAAACTAATGGTAACAGTTGGTATATTCCTAACGCATATTTAGCATTGTAGCTCGCACATTAATAGGATTGATGTTTAACACAGTATCTCATGTTTACTGTGTTTACCAAACTCGTTCACCTATTAACCGTGGTCCTTTTCACGCAGCCCTCTGGATTCATTTGAAGTGTTTCATTTGGATGGTTCCATACAGTCCCCTTAACCTACGTTTGTCTAAGTGCTTCATTGTGATCTATTCTCTCCATTTTTATAAGTAATCGGTTTCGTGTCACTAGTACTCAATCTTCATTCCTTTCCTGATCAGAAATAGCGTCTTTCGTTTTCTTTACCCGTGAAACCAAACAGAATCAAAAACCTAAACAACAAGAACGCCTCCCACCCCTGTCTTATGTACACTAGGATTTTGTACATTCTAATTAAATAAACTGAAATTTTCAGAATCTCGACTTCCTCAATGGTGCTTAAGGGTTCGGAGGTCTGAAGCCTGTGGATAGTGATTAAGTCATCGGAGTGATCGTATCACCTGAGTTGTTGGCAGTTTAACTGAAAAGTTTCGTTTAACCATCCAACATCTATTTTTCCTAGCAGTTTGTGGCATAAGGTGAAGTCGGTCACAATTCGTTCATCATAATTTTGATTGTAATCTTGATTTATATTTCCTGCCCTTTTGTGTTACCGTCGCCGCAGTTGGTTGCTGTCCTATGGTGTGTACAAGTAGATACAAATGCGTAAGGTGAAGAACTACTGGATCTATTTGTGAGAGAAACAATGAGCTAGTATAACCAACAGGAAGTGTATAGTTCAGCTGTATGCGGTTCAAGCATTCTGATCAGATTAGAAATAGGGTCGGCATATATATGTCTCACACCCCATCACGAAAAGACTGCACATTGACGTGGTTTGATGGCTTACGCACCTCTATGACCCAACGAGCTACACAGGATGGCTTTTATCGAGCCAAAGATCTAATCA